GTAAAAATAATAAAACAAGGTCTTTGTTGCAATGATTAGACATTTTTTATTATTGTCATTAGTGATTATCTCAATTTTGGCTAAAAGACTTGACAAAATCCTACACACTGTGCCTTTAATGTTCTCTACCTCCCCTAAAATGGCTCACATGATCTTTTTTTGTTTGTTTGTTGTTGTTTTTTTCTTTTCTGTATTTGTGTGCCTGAGTTGAGTTTTATATGAAACTCAAAGAATAAAATCCAGTTTCATCAAGACCTTTGGCTGTTTGTAGAATAAGGAGCCAATAGGATGTCACAAAAACACATCTGGGTCCAGGACTAAACATCATCCGCACCAACCTCAGCGTCTTAAGTTTGTCCTGGGGGAAGCGATTCAGATAAAAGCAACAGCAGCGCAGCAAACAGCAAGATGAAATAACGGTGATTCCACTGATGTGCAGCAGACAGATTATCAATACCAGTTTGTATGAGACAAGAACCAGAGCAAATTAGAGGGGAGGCACAGAGATGGAAACTCTGATGGAGATGGCTGATGGAGCGAAAGAAGGCGGGAAAAGAATGAGAGAAATGGAGTGATGGATGATGTGTGGGTCTAAACAAAGAAGAAAGCCAATAAAGGACTATTCTGTAGTTTTATATGTCCCCGGTGAAAGCCATAACCTGGCTCATAAATCATCGACCCTCTAAATAATGGCTGCAAACACAAACGCACCACGGCTCTAGTGTAAATACACATGCGCAAACAGCACACACACACAGACATCCATACGCAATATTTGTGCTGACAGCTTTTGCTCATAAACATGTTAATGCTCTCTCTTTCACACACACACACACTTAACATCATCAATATGCCATCATTGTTCCCCAGCTGGTGTCCCCCCTCAGTTTGGTGTTTATCGGCTCTGTCCAAAGGGAGCAATAAAACAACATCAGTTGTGGCATTGTTGTTGTTTTTTTCCACACACACACACAAAAAAAATCTGGATACAAACATGTCACAACAACCACCAGCTTGACACATAACTCCTTAAATTATCCTGTTACTTTTATTACTATGAAATACAGTCTACTGATTGATAACCCCAAAAGTGCAATAACATGTTTGAATGTCCATTATTGTTATAAATGATATAAATCTTTAAACTAATAATCAAACTGTTTACGTTTTCTTACTCATTTTATTTTTTATTATGGCTCCATTATTTACAGTTTGTTTGATAAATGAGACATATATGGATTTTAAAGTTGTTGAGTTTGAACTCTTAAAGTTTAAGAACTAAGGCAAAAAATATGTGTGTACACTCACTTCTATTTTGTAAAATGTCTTCTATAGTGTGGATTCAACATATACTGTATGTGACTCTACTTCCTTAAAAAAAAATCATTTACTGGGGAAAATTGGTTTGACCCACCCAATTAAATGTAATCAGATTCAGCCCTAGTTTAGGAAAGAAAAAAAAAAGAAAAGGCAACAGAGAGTGTGTTCCCATAAGAGCATAAGATTTCCCTGGAGTGTTGTTATCGCTTAAAAGAAAYACACAAGAGAAGTGTTTGTGATCTTCTCTTCAAGCAACAATGTGCTGTTGAGCTTGTTTGTCAAAGACAATTAATAAGTCTTGCCAGAGATAAGCTACAATTTAGTTGGCTAAATTATATGATGATAACTAAAAGTCTTTCTGTTTTTGTCTTCTCTTTGTCCAAAGGTCAAAATAAACCTGGAAGCTYGTGGAGACGAGCTGCCTCACCAACAGCTCAGAGCCCTGCTTTCCCCACTCTGACCCTCGCTTAACAAAYACAGACACACGAGTAGACAGAGAACAGATGATACTCTGCGATTTCCAAATCCAACCACCTGGAAATTTTCGATCAGATGTGCTTCTTCTGGTTCCGTCTGCTAGTTGATGAAACACTGACACYGTGTGGCTGAGAGTGGTAACTGCAGGAGCCACACTGAGACGATTTGTCTTTATTACGGATAACTCGCTCCCCTTTTTATTCATTTATTTATTTTGTTTCTGTTTTTGGTGGATAACAGCGTCCCAAAGGAAACCAAAGGGGCGCAAAGAGGCAGAAACTCACTGGTGGTGTGTTTCATCAGGACTTCCAGGASAGTGAGAGTTCTGCTGTGGGAAAATGTTTAGAAAGAATCCCAGATTTGTTGAGTACTGGTAAAGTTTTACGCATTTGACCAAAGACTGAAAAAAAAACAGTTCCTGAAGCCACAGCTGAACCTGTTTAACTTTTCTTTGGGACTATTTTTCGCTCTTGGTGCCTGACACATAACTTTCTGGACATTCAGCGAGGGGGACCTGCGTACCGATCCAAGAATGTTAGACATCTCTTTTTTTTCTACTTGTCTTTTTGGTGTGTTTGGGATCTCACTGCAAGTCGGGGCCTCCAATTTGAGCACATCGTTTGCTCTCTGCTCCGTTGTTTCATGAATGTTCACYAATGGCGCGTTGCGTTGCCTCGTACCGCCTCGTACGTGCATGTGGACAAGACACTAACAAGCAAGCATAACTGATCTATCCCTCTTCTTTTCTTCTGCTAATGTGAACCGTAATGTTTACAAAAAGTAATTTGAGACWGGACATTTTGAAGATSTAACGGATTAGGATTGAGGATTTGTTTTTTTGTTTCTGTCTGTGCTGTTGAAATATTTTGTCTTCCACTTGAGACCGTCAGAGGTAGATGGAGAGAGAGAGATCTGGGCTGTCCTCCTCAGTCACATCTCTGAGCAGGCTGCTATTTCTCCTCTTTAGTTTTTAATATTCATTCGTGATACAATATGAATAATAATATTCATTCAAAGCAGCTCTATGGTGCTGCAGGGCCCACTGACAGAAGACAATCACAGTCAGAGCAGCTAAAGTCTTCACATAAACATGAGACAAGAACTGTTTGTTGAAAGAAAAAAACAATGATAGTCTTCTAAATTGAACTGTTTTAGTATTTATTACCACTGAGACTGATAGCTGGTAAAACACTACCTACAGGAGGAAAAGCAGTCCTCGGTGGTCCTACATCCATCCTCGCTGGTAGACTATTTTTACTCCTTTGAGAAGAAAAGACCAAGCAGCTTCCTTCTGTCACCCCGCAACTCGATTTTTAAAAACGTGCCAACCACTTCACGGACCTGTTTAGCCCCAGATCGGGACCAAAAACACGTCTAGACATCAATTTGCAGGGTTTCCATATAAGGAAATTGGACAACATTTGTGTTGTATTCACTGGACCAAAAGTCTTAAAGCCTTCTCTTATTTTTATTTTTTTTATTTTTTTTTGTTGCTGAGGAACACTTCAGGGAGACTTCTGGTAACATTAAAAAAAACCAGCGCAGTTTCCACCACCTCCATCCTGCGGTTATCTTCAGCAGATTATTTGTTTTGTAACAAAACTTTGGGTTTAGGTTTCCGAGTCGCTCCGAGACAGGATTTTGTGTGTTTGCATGAGGTGTTTCCAAACTGTTGCATATTTAATCTCATGCTGCGTGTGATTAACTAGCTTTGTACAAAAAAAAAAAAAAAAAACAAACAAAAACAAAAACAAAAACACAAAACCACAACACCTGGAACTGTTTGGTTTCTTGGATGCTCCTCGATTCTCTTTAAAGATTCTTAAATGTGAACTTTGTGGGTTTTTTTCTATAAATAAGAGTCTGAAGTGTCTGTGGAGTTAAGGAGAAAACTAGCGACTGGTATGTAAAAAGAAATGTAACTTTGATCTTCTAGACGTTTTTTACTCACATGTGGCCGTGTTTACTGTTTTTTCTAGTTGACTAATACTGTATGATGTTGTGTAAAAGTGGGACTTTTTTGTTTTATTTCTTCTAACTGTACAGAGTATTTAAAACGAGGGAGTACGAGGACAGTGGGAGAGAAAAAATCAGTTGCACTACATTCTGTAATCCTGTAAACGTTTGCAATGGTCGTCGAGTGGAGTTTTTCTCCGTTTGTCATCTTTGGGTCTCACGTGTAAAAGGATTCATGTATTCTCATCAGACTGATGAGCTAATGGCTATAAGTCTGAAAACAGAAGTGAATTAAAGCAACTTTAAACTCAAAAATGTCAAATTAGTTCAAACAAATATTTTTCTAGCTCTAATAGCAACAGCAGCTAGCTGTAGCACTTCTGTCAAAAATATTATAAACCACGTAGTGTGAGATTGTTGACGTAAAGGTTTATAAAACTTTGTTTGCTTGAACCGCTCATAAACGTTTGGGATTGGAGTTGTTTTAAGACTGTAACAATCTGCTTTGGTCTTAGCCCGGYTCGAATTAGCCGTTAGCTTAGCATGTTGGTCAGAGTATAGGAATTGTGCAGTCTTGTTGCCCACATAATCAAAACTTAAACTAGACAAATGGAAGAAAAACTCCAGCTGACTAGCAGTTAATTTTTTTTACTGAATTAAGCTGAATTTCTCCAAACTGAGGTCGTTCAAAGAGCTATCCACAGCAGGTAAGATATTGCCTGTTTACAACCTTTGCAATTGACTAACCTATGACTTCAAGGATAAACTTTTCCCTCCTCTTTGCGTATAGTCAAAAATACACATTCCGTTTAATTAATAAAAACAACTAAGTAGAAAGATGAACGTTTCTGTATCAAAATTCTAAATTTGCTGTAAAACACCATCAGTTTGACACAACACCACGCAAACTGAAAGTGAATAAATTTCTTTGTGCCTTTAAAGAGTTGATCGATTTAACGATAACCGGCACTGTGTAACCATTATTGATCGCCCAGATGTGACCACAGCCTCAGTTTGGCTGGTTTAACGAGCGTCAACAAATCACAAAGGTGCATAAATAAGATAATGTGACCCCCGTGTGTGTGTGTGTGTGTGTTTGTGTGTGTGTGTGTGTGTGTGTGTGTGTGTGTGTGTGTGTGTTATTTGGGAATAACATTTTACGATGTTGGCAAAAAAAGCCACTAAGAAACGTCTCCATAGAAAAAAATAAGATTTTTGTAAACAATTAACAGTTTGCTCGGACGGTACAACTTTTGTCTTTTACTTGGCTTGAAACCTTTCTGGGTGAAGTTGATATTTGCACCAGCAACGGACAGAGCCGGTAAAGAAAATTGATAGACAGATGAAACAAGTGAGAGAACTCAGTCCTTTGGAGCTCTAGAGCTC